CGCACCTTAGTCCTCAAAGTGACATCTTTGTTTTTTAACACTTTAAAGAGGTCTTTTGCAGCAGATTTGCCCAATGCACTACATCATTTGATTTCTTGACTTCTGCTTCCATGGGCATTGATTGTGGATCCAAGTAAAACAAAATCCTTGACAACTTCAATATTTTCTCCATTTATCATGATGTTGCTTATTGATTCAGTTGTGAGGATTTTTGTTTTCTTTATACTGAGGTGTAACCCATACTGAAGGCTGTAGTATTTGATCTTCATCAGTAAGTGCTTCAAGTCCTCTACGCTTTCAGCAAGCAAGGTTGTGTCATCTGCATATTGCAGGTTGTTCATGGGTCTTCCTCCAATCCAGATGCCACATTCTTCTTCACGTAGTTTAGTTTCTCAGATTATTTGCTCAGCATATAGATTGGATAAGTTTGGTGAAAGGATACAACTCACACCTTTCCTGACTTTAAACCATGCAGTATCCCACTGTTGTGTTTGAACTGCTGCCTCTTGGTCCGTGTACAGGTTCTGCATTAGCACAATCAAGTGTTCTAGAATTCTCCTTCTTTGAAATGTTATCCATAATTTGTTATGATCCACACAGTTGAATGCCTTTGCATAATCAATAAAACACAGGTATATATATATACATATGCTATATTTTCATGTGGCCAAAAAAAGCCCTCAACCCACACACTACACATATATTCAATCACCTGCTTTGTCTGCATTCCGCCCGTCCCAATTCCCACCAGACACATACCACTAGGCCATATTGTGTAAACACCTGCCTGTCTCCTATAGAAAGTTGACTCTAACTTTAACCCTTTGCCTGTAGGCTTGAATTCTATTTCCAATCATGCCTTATTGTTTTGTTCTGTTTTTATTTACTCTCCAATTAAAAATTCTAATAAGAAATGCAAGTAATGCAACCTTCACAAAGTTCTGACTAAGAATTACCTGGGCTTCCAGATCTAGGGGTTTCCAGTGACAGAATCCCTGAACAATACTCCCTTTTGTCAATGTGGCCTAAACTAAAAATAATCATAGATGAAAGGGTATTGATACTCCCACCATGAGGAAGTAAAACCTAAAGTAAATTTTAGTTATATAGTCACTGAACACTCTGTGCATACAAAAGCAGAATTTGGGGAGTTATGAAAGAATGAGAGATGCTTATATCATCCCCCCAAAAATGATTATTTGACTATAATTGGAATAATTAGATCAATATGGACAGCCAAAATAGTATAAAACCAGAAAGACCAAACCCACTGCTGTCAAGTCAATTCTGACTCACAGCAACCCTATAAGACAGAGTAGAACTGCCCCATAGTGTTTCCAAGGAGCACCTGGTGGATTCCAACTGCCGACCTTTTCATTAGCAGCCGAACTCTTCTTAACTACTATGCCACCAGGGTTTCTCTGCTTCATAAAAAATTACCACAAACTTAGCAACTTAAAGCATTTATTTATTATCTCACAGGTTTTTCAGTAGGAATCCAAGCATGGCTTAGCTGGATCTAAGGTCTCTCAGAGGCTGTAACCAAGGCATTGGCTAGACCTAAAATCTCATTGAAAGCTCAGCTGGGGAAGGATCTGCTTCCAAGCTCAAGTGGTTGTTGGCAAAATTATAGTTCCTCAAGGGCTTCTGGACTGAGGGTCCCAGTTCTTAGCTAACTATTGAGCAGAGGCTTCCCTCTGTTCTTTGACACATGGGCCTTCCCAACTTAGTAGCTTGCTTCATCAAAGTGAGCAAAGGAGCGTGTCAGCTAGCAAAACAGAAGTCACAATCATGCCTAACCTAATTACGGAAGTGACATCCCATCACCTTTGCTGTATTCTGCTTAGAAGTCACAGGTCCCACTCAAAGTCAAAGGAAGAGGATTATGCAAAGGCATGAATTCCAGGAGGTGGAGATCATTGAGGTACATCTAAGAAGCTGCCTGCCACACACATTATCCCAAATTTACTTAAGTTCTTTCACCCTTAGACTGTTCTTAAAGATTTAATTGTTTCACTCCAAAAAAAAAAAACTTAGGTACAAACTTAATGACATATGTCTCATGACCAATGAAAATGACCAACATTGCTGAGGAAATTTAAATAAGACCTAAATGAGAGATATATCATGCTCCTGGATTGGGAGACTGAACATTGTTAAGATGTCAGTTCTCTCCCGAACTGATCTATAGATTCAGTGCAATCCTAATTAAAGTTCCAGGAGACCTCTTTATAAAAACAGACAAGCCTTTTCTCAAATTTATGTTGATATGCAAAAGACCTGAAATAGCAAAACTAATTTTGGAAAAGAAGAACAAATTTAGAGGTTTCATGCTATCTGATTTCAAGCTAAAATAACCAAGACAATATGCTACTGGCGTAAAGATAGACATATAGGTCTACAGGACAAAAGCAAAATAAACTCACAAATAAAGGTTGAATTGAATTTCAACAAAGGTGCCAAGGTAATTCAATAGGAAAAAAATAGTCTGTTCAAATGATGCTGATCAACTAGATACAGGGAAAAAATACATCTCCACGCTTATCTCATGCCATACATAAAAAATATACTCAAGATGGATCACAGACCTAAAATTAAAGGCCAAACTATAAAATTTCTAGGGGGGAAAAAAAAAACAAGAGGAAATCTTTGAGTCTTTTGAGTAGGGAAGCATTTTTAGATAAAATGCATGAACTATAAAAATACAAAATTAATAAATTGGACTTTATCAAAACTTTAAACTTCTGTTCTTCAAAATACTCTACTAAGGAAATGAAATTGCAAGCCACAGAATGAGAAAAAATATTGGCAAGATATATACACAAACTAAGGACTTGCATCTAGAATATACTAAGAACTCTTAAAACTTAGTAATAAGGAGACAAAAAAGACAAACAAGCAAAAGATTTGAATGGACACATCACAAAAGAAGATATACAAAGGTCTAATAAGCAAATCAACATCAACATCATGATGATCAACATTATCAGCCGTTGTTGTTGTTAGGTACCGTTGAGTCAATTCCCACTCATAGCGACCCTATGTACAGCAAAACAAAACACTGCCCAGTCCTGTGCCATCCTCACAATCCTTGCTATGTTTGAGCACATTGTTGCAGCCACTGTGTCAGTCCATCTCTTTGAGGGTCTTCCTCTTTTTTGCTGACCCTTTACTTTACTAAGTATGATGTCCTTCTCCAGGAACTGGTCCCTTCTGATAACATGTCCAAAGTACATGAGATGAAGTCTCACCATCCTCACTTCCAAGAAGCACTCTGGCTGTATTTCTTCCAAGACAGGCTTGTTTGTTCTTCTGGCAGTCCACAGTATATTCAATATTTTTTGCCAACACCATAATTCAAAGGCATCAACTCTTCTTCGGTCTTCTTTATTCATTACATCAGTCATTAGGAAAATGAAAATTAAAACCACATGCTCACTAGAATAGCTAGTATTAAGAACTCAAATTCACATAAAAAGATCAGACTTAATGGTCTGACAGAAACTGGAGGAATACCTGAAACTATATGGCCCCTGGATGCGTTGTTAACTCAGAACTAAAACCATTCCCAAAGCCCACTCTTCAGACAAAGATTAGACAGAACTATAAAACAAAAAATAATACATGTGAGGAATGTGCTTCTTAGTTCAATCAGATACACGAGACCAAATGGGCAGCTTCTGTCCAAAAGCAGGATGAGAAGGTAGGAAGGGACAGGAACTGGTCAAATGGACACAAGGAACCTAGGGTGGAAAGGGGGAGTGTGCTGTCACATTATGAGGATTGCAACTAATGTCACGAAACAATATGAGTATAAATTTTCGTATGAGAAATTAACTTGAGCTGTAAACTTTCACCTAAACCACAATAAAAAAAAAAAAAGACTAACAATATCAAAGTTGAATGTGGAAGTCTCATACTTCTGATCAGAGTGTAAAATGGTCAACCACTTTGAAAAATAGCTTTGTCATTTCTTACAAAGTTAAACATGCATTTACCATGTCATCCAAAACTCCAATCCTAGGTAGTTATGCAAGAGAAATGAAAATATGTCTCCACACAAAGACCTGAACATAAATGTTTATAGCTACTTTATTCATAATTGTCAAAAACTGGAAAAATCCAAATGTCTATCAATACATGAATAAACAAATTGTGGTATACACATATAATGAAATATTAAAAAGGAACAAAATACTGATACCCACAACATGGACTGATCTCAGAAACAGTATGCAGAGGTAAGGATGCCAACCACAGCACAGTGCATACTGTATGATTTCATTTATATGAAACTTGAGGAAAGACAAATCTGATCTATAGTGACACAAATCAGATCCTTGGATACTTGGGTAAGGTAGAGGGATTGGCTGGAAAAGGACTAAAAAAAACTTTTTTCGGTGATGGAAATGTTCTGTATCTTGATGGTGTGGGTGATTACATGGATGTATATCTGTGTAAAAATTCATCAAACCATACAGTTAAAATGGGTGAATCTTACTACATGTAGATTTTGCCTGAGTATAGTTGGTTTTTAAAATGAGTTCTTTATACATCTACATTTCCATTTCTTTAAAAGTCCTACCAAAAGTCCACAATAGACCCAAAAGTAGTGAGAATCACTTTCAAAAGTAACAAAGTTTAATTCAATGTAAATAAGTAAAGGCTTAAATAAACACCTTGAAGACATATTTGGAAGCAAGAATGAAACCGCTATAATACATAAAACACAGTGACATATAGCTTCCTGATGGTAATAACCCACAGAAGACTATAAATCAAGAGAATAGATTCTCATAGCTGCACCTGTTCCTGAAACTGAGTCTATGCCCTAAATTGTATTATTGTGCTGATGAAACCAGAAACCATCTTTCAACTTTCCAGGCTTTTTTTCCTTTACATGTTCCGCCATGATTTTCCCTTTAGTCCCTCTCTTTAATGCAGAAGTCTACTATGCTCCATGTCATTTCATCTAATCATTTTGATCCTTCCCTTGTGCTTTCATTAAGAAAATGGCCATATCAACAATTCCAGTGCCCATCATGTGTATGATTTCATGAAAACAACTTGTCTCTGTCTGAGCTGCTTCATGGCACTTTTTACCTCCTCATTCCTCAAGGTGTAAACGAGGGGATTCAGCAAAGGTGTAACCACTGTATAGAAAACAGATATCACCTTGTCAACGGAGTAGCTGGTGTCTGGTCGAGTGTAGATGAAGATACACGGCCCAAAAAATAGGACAACCACTATGAAGTGGGCTGAGCAGGTAGACAGAGCCTTCCAGCGCCCCTCAGCTGACTGTTTTCGAAGGGAAATCAGGATGACCGTATAGGAGATGACCAAGGTCAGGAAACAGGTAAGAGAGATGGTTCCACTGTTAGACACAGTTAGCATTCCGGTGAGGTATGTATCTGTGCAGGCCAGTTTGATGACAGAAGGCACATCACAGAAGTAACTATCAATAATGTTGGGGCCACAGTAAGATAGACGAATGGTCAAGAAGGTCTGCACCAGTGAATGAATAGTACCCCCCAACCAGAGAGCGAAGACAAGCTGTACACAGACCCTCATGTTCATCACATTGGGGTAGTGTAATGGAGTACAGATGGCTACGAAACGATCATAGGCCATAATGGTCAGCAGAAAGATCTCAGCACAGGCAAAAAGATGTAGGAAGAAGAGTTGTGCAATGCAGTTGTCAAAGGAAATGGTCTTTCTCTCTAAAAGAAAGCCCTCCAGCATATCGGGCACAGTGACAGATGAGTGGCAGATATCAATAAAGGAGAGATTGCTCAGGAAGAAATACATGGGTGTTGAAGACGTGAAGTAAAGACTATGATAACGATGATGACAATGTTCCCCAAAAGAGTTAGCACATAAGTGACTGAGAATGCCACGAAAAATATTATCTCCAGCACCCAGTTATCAGTAAGTCCCAAGAAGACAAATTCAGTCACTCTTGTTTGATTTAGCGGGTTCATCCAATAAGCTTTCCAAAAGACCTTGGGGGAAGAAAAAGAAAGTTAATTTATCTTTAATATTACAGGTATCCTCCTGATTTCGAAAGTTCGTTTTACTCCACTTCGCTCTTACAAAGAACTATATTTGTACCTGTTTTCACTAAGCAAAAGCAATCCGAAGAGGATTTTCACTTTTACGGAAAAAGGTTAAATGCGAGATAGCATTCGGCGTTTGTTTCGCAGCAAGCCATTAAAGAGGCGGCGCGCACCCCGAGCGGCGTAGCCACGCTCCTTCCCACGGACCTGCACTCAGCATCTCAGCATCAAGCCGCCATAGCTTTGAACTATGTCTGTGAGCAACTGTGCTTCATCTCAATTTATTTTGTACTCCGTTAGCAAGATGTGTCCTAAGGTATCAGAAAAGACTAAAAGAGCTCATATGGGTTTTATGTATTATTTGGTTATCACTTGGTAGGTTATTTTTGGGGCCTGGGAATGCTCAAAGTTTTTTCCCCCCGTATAAACTAACGGTAATTGTTTCTTCACTTTGCACCATTTCGGCTTACAAACGGTTTCATAAGAACGCTCAACTTTTCGGATAGCAGTGGAAACCTGTATAGGAATATAGCTAATTGAAGTGACTCTGCATTCCTATATGAATTGCTTATTTATAATCAGGGGATAGAGAATATGAGACCAATTTAATAATAATTGCTACAATATACCCACTACAGGTTAGGAGCTATGGCAAGCATTTTGTGTACATCATTCTATTTAATCGTAACACTATGGCATAGGCATTATTGTTCCTGTCTTGCAGACGAGATAAATGAGCCTTGGCAAGAATTAATAAGTTGCCAAAATCTCTTAGCCATCAGTTAGCTGGCTCATTTCAGTCCAGTCCACTCATAGCATCAAATTAATAGTCTAAAATATAACCCCAATTAAAATCATTCAGTATTTTACTCTTCTGATCAAATTAAATGTACATTCAAAGCCTTCAAAATTCTGCTGCACACTGGTTTTTTCCCATATGGTGTTCCTTTATTTTCCCTACGCATCCTTCTTTCCAGGTAAGCAAATCACTATCCTCCAGCCACACTACCCCCACCTATCTACTTACTACATCTTTGCCTTTATTTATTCTGTTCCCTCTGCTCAGAAAACATACTCTCAAATCAAGTGTAATTGCTGACTATTAAAATACTATTCATCCTTCAAGACGATCTCAAAGAGTACTACATTTAAGAAAATTTTCCTAACACAAGCTATCAAATCTTATTTCTTCACTTTCATACTCCTCTTATGGCACTTAACTGTAACAGAAAGTAAAATGAGATGTTTACTTTAGCTCCCCATTAAATTGGGATTTTCTTAAAATCAAAAACCACACATGACTTATCCCTTGCAGAACTTGGCATTGGGTCTTGCACACAGTGGGTATGCAAAAAATATTTTTTTGTTTGAACTGAACCTAATTTCTTCGGTAACCTGAAAAAGAATCAAACCCTTCCCTCACAATGAAGCTAATAAGATCCTTTAGAAACTTAATTTTTTTTAAATTCTGTAATATGGTTTTTCCCCTAGGAGATATAAGTGTATAAACCAAAAATTTTATGCTATTAATATACACATACACATACATATTCACTGCCAGTTCTCCTGCCCCTAGATCTTTCCCCTACTCAGCAGTTGCCTCTGGAGAGTTAAGCTAGATTAACTCCCAAATGTCTTTTAGTATGTTGTACTTAGTTTCTTTTCTTTATTATTATTATTTTTAATTTCTTATTCTTCACAGTATATAAGGAAACAGTCTACCCAGTTACTAACCAAAACAGGGAAAGAGAGCTCCGAGAACAAAAGTTGCTCTGAGGTTTTAGAGGTAAGGGCTCTTTAGGGTCAGAACCAAGCGGTGTCCTCTTCTCTGCATACACAGAGAGCATTCACCAGCACTTCTCCATACATTACAGCGATGTGTGTCATGGTGAATTATGTCCCAGAGACTGACCCTGGGTAGGGAAAGCCCAGGCGAGCAGAGCTACCATGCCTCAGCTGCAGTCCTCCACATCATCTCCAGAACAGCCCAAATCTAATCTATACACTGAGCACAGCAAGAGCAGACTTTCTCTAGTGGTAGTAAGACCCTCCTCGCTTAGACTAAGAGGCAAACAAAGACTGGATGCACATCTGCCAGTAGAAGAGATTTATGTTTACTTTGGAAGGTTGGATCATATTCCACATTCATTCTATAAAAATTTGCAAGTGCCTAATATATTCCAGGCACTGTGCTAAGGATGCAAATACAAAGAAGCACAGAGAGGTAATGATCTTGATCCCTTCTAACCTCAACACTCTATAATCCTATGGCTTTTCTGGATACTTAGGAAAAAGGGACAAAAGCTGTGGCAAAATCTAGAAGGCTTCAAGTCATAATCTACGGCAGCGTGAAGAATCCTGGAGCGTGTGTGTATTTGCATGTGTGTGCATGTGCGTGTGTGTGTAGGTGCTTTCATAGAAAGCAACACATTGAAAAGGTATGCTGAGTCTGCAGACAGAACTTAAAATGATTCTCATAAGTTAAAAGGGCCCTATAGTAAATCTCTAAACACAGCCTTAGCGGACATAATCAGACAAGTGGTTGAGATAGGGTCTTGCTTAGTACCATGCACATATGTGCACATATGTGTATTCCCTAAAAAGCATGACAAGCATATAGGCAGAAGAAGTAGTAAAACTTACCAATTTTCTCCAATTATGCAGGGGAAATTTAGCTAATTGCTATAATGTTCTTTCATTCACTTTTTTCACAATTCTTTCTAGAAATGAAACAGAAAATAAAATATAAAAAGACAAAGTTAATAAAAAAATTCTGATTTGGATATTAGTAACTTTTTCTGTTTCGCTTCATCTTTCTAATATTGGTCCCTGGATTTTTTAATCCTTTTACTTCTCTTTTTCATTTGTTCTTTTCAATACTTTTGCCTTCTTTCTGGCCACTTGGTTCTAAGCCTATTTGTCATTTCTATTTCAATCTGTGGGCACTATTAGAATTGTATTTTATCAAGTCCCAGAATCTGGTACTCAATGACCATTAATTTAATATTAGAGAAGGAAACAATTGTTAGTGAAGGAAAGTAATTATTTCTACTTAATATAAGTAAATAGTATAGTTTGGGAGATATAACCTAATACTGACTTAAAGCTTAAAATTTTGTAGTAAGAAAATATAAACATTTTTAAGGAGCCATTATCGGATCAAGCCAGATAGTCTTAGGTCTAATTGCTGTCCAGCTGAGCTAATAAACATTGTTGACTAAAGACCTATTTCGTGAGTTAATCGTTAAGATCTAAAAATTTAGATTCTGCTTCTTTTTACTTCTTTAACCAATTCATATATCACATCTCTGGGTATACTTGTGCAAGTCACTTAACTTTATTTTCATTATCTGGAAACAAGTCATAATTCTCTCTTTTTAATTGCTTTCTTTGTAATGGCCTTAAAGATGGGAATGAAGTTTGGTGAAGTTTGGGTATAGAGGAAGACCAATGTTCATTCATCACTCCCAGGAGCTAAGTTTCCTTTAAAGATCCAATTATCTCCTCTCTCCTCAACATCAACCCGAAATAAGTAACAATAATCATATCACTTTATAAAGAGGAAAGAGGATAGAAAAGTTCAGTGTCATCAAATCAAGTCAATCAAACCAGTAGTTCTGTTAAACTCTGGCTCTCTTTTAAAGGCCAAAGCAATATTCTTCAATTTAGGATCAGTAGCGCTTGTTAATAGGACAAAAGCTATTTATCTGCTGGTTTAAAATACATTTCCTAACTGACATCAGACACTTACCCCGTACTGCCTAGTACCTCCTCTAGTGATTCAATTCTCCTTTTATAACCTGTTACAGAAGCTTAGTGTGTAAAATCATGAAGTATAAATATCTACACAGAGTGAATTTCAAGCTTGAAGCCTTTGGGATTTTTATCTATTTGACATAGGATTTTGAAGTGATTGTTACAAGACTATAATTGCACTTGCCATCAATGACTACTCGGGGGTATTATTAAAAGTTTTCCATTTCAAAAGCATAATCCTGTTATTAAACCCACTTATTTAGCCATTGAACAACTGGACAATAAAACCAGCAGCTTCCAAATATGGAAGAGATTCAAACCTCTGCAATTACCATGATATGAGTTGTGTAGCCACTGTACTTACCACTGCAATACACACCAGAGATTCAAAGCCCATTGACAAATGAAGCTCACCTATGATTACTAAGTAAATTGGCACTAATGCCACTTCAACAAGTATCCAAGATGCATCCTGGAACTAACTTAGTTTCCAGAAATATCTGACTCAATACATCCGCATTTGTCTCTTCTACTTGAGCAAGAGTTCAAAGCAAAAAATATTTTCCACACTTTACAGATTGTTTAGGTGAAGTAGTCTCTATAAATAGGACAAAAATATTGAGATGTTTTGTAACCAGACAATTTTTTCAAAGGCAGTCCCTTGCTGCTTCCCAAGTCTTCTCTACTATATCCTAAAATTAACAAGTATAGACTGTCCCATATTCCCCTCGGAGATGAACAGGCCCAATATATAGTGACAAGAATTAAATTATTAAAGAATCCACCATGTAGCCCATGCTTAAACTTGTTTATTGTAGACCCATTTGCAGAGACAACAACGTCCTCACCAAGCAATTACAGAAGTAAAATCTCCAAATCGCCTTGCCCTCTGAACATTTGCCTCATGTTCTGGCCTACTTATCCCAACCTCCTCATAAAAACGTCATGCTGGGCATGAGAACACAGAGTAGAAGAAGCAATAAAGAGAAGGGCAAAGAGTCACTAGAGTAATTTCAAGTATGCTCTGTAATGATGACAGACACAAACTTGTTAGAAACAAGAAAATGTCAGAAAGAGATGATTAGAGATGGAGCAAAGAAAAATGATAGGCAACCTTTCCCCATTTCTCCCATCGCCTCTAGATGTAGACTTGGAAAAAAATGGGAAGGGAGATGAAGAGCTTGAGTTGGTGGAGTGAAGTTATCATAAAGTAGAAGAATTGAAGGGGCCCAGACTCTTTTCATTGAAGTCTTTTTACAGAAGCCATACTACATTTTGGCTTTGGGGGCCTCTGGGTTTTTTCAGTTATTCATTGAACTACATTTATTGGCACCTTTTTTGCCAGACATTATGCTGAACGCTGAATGCCCATTAATTAGTATGAGCTAGGCTGTTTGAAGAGGATGAGATTTGAGCTAAAGAATGAAAAAAATGTGTAAACAAAAGGGAGAGGAGAGACAAGAGGCATCCAGAAAGCCAGAGAAATGGAAATGAACATAATACATGCAGTAAACAAATACCAGACCATCCTAACAGAAAGTCAGGACACTTTGGAATATAATGGAAAACAAATCCAAACAGATACAGAAGACTTTGAAAGATAGTCAGATATTGTTGATGTTATTAGGTGCCTTTGAGTAGATTCCAACTCATAGCGACCCTATACACAACAAAACAAAACACTGCCTGGTCCTGCACCATCCTCACAAACGTTGCTGTGTTTGAGCCCATTGCTGCAGCCACTGTGTCAATCCATCTCTTTGAGCGTCTTCCTCTTTTTTGATCTCCTCTACTTTACCAAGCATGATGGCCTTCTCCAGGGACTGGTCCCTCCTGATAACATTTCCAAAGTGTATGAGATGAAGTCTCAACATCCTTGCTTCTAAGGAGCATTCTGGCTGTACTTCTTTCAAGATAGATTTGTTCATTCTTCTGGCAGTCCATAATATATTTAATATTCTTCACCAACACCATAATTCAAAGGCATCAATTCTTCTTCAGTCTTCCTTATTCATTGTCCAGCTTTCACATGTATATGAGGCGATTGAAAACACCATGGCTTGGGTCAGGCACACTTTAGTCCTCAAAGTGACATCTTTGCTTTTTAACACTTTTAAAGAGGTCTTCTGCAGCAGATTTGCTCAAAACAAAATGTCATTTGATTTCTTGACTGCTGCTTCCACGGGTGTTGATTGTGGAGACAAGTAAAATGAAATCCTTGACAAGTTCAGTCTTTTCTCCGTTTATCATGATGCTGCTTATTGGCCCACTTGTGAGGATTCTTGTTTTCTTTATGTTGAGGTATAATCCGTACTGAAGGCTGTAGTATTTGATCTTCATCAGGAAGTACTTCAAGTCCTCTTCACTTTCAGCAAGCAAGGTTGTGTCATCTGCATATTGCAGGTTGTTAATAAGCCTTCCTCCAATCCTGATACCCAATTCTTCTTCATATAGTCCAGGTTCTCAGATTATATGCTTAGCGTACAGATTGAATAAGTATAGGGAAAGGATACAACCTGACGCACACCTTTCCTGACTTTAAACCATGCAGTATGCCCTTGTTCTGTTCAAACAACTACCTCTTGATCTATGTACGGGTTCCTCATGAACACAATTAAGTTTTCTGAAATTCCCATTCCTCACAATGTTATTCATAATTTGTTATGATCCACATAGTCGAATGCCTTTGCATAGTCAATGAAACACAGGTAAACATCTTTCTGGTGTTCTCTGCTTTCAGCCATGATCCATCTGACATCAGTAATGACATCCCTCGTACAGTGTCCTCTTCTGAATCCGGCTTGAATTTCTGGCAGTTCCCTGTCGATGTACTCCTGTAACCACTTTTGAATGATCTTTAGCAAAATTTTACAGTCAGATATAGAGGGATTTAAATTAAAGGTAAACAGTTGGCACTCAGTGTATGTTTTAGAGCTGGAGAGTGGTATGATGAAAGTAAGACTTTAGACAATTTTTATAAGACCACGATGCAAGACTTTCAGGTGAAAGAGCCTGGAAATAGGGAGATCAGAACAGCAATATTGGTTTGTTTCTCAAAAAAGTAATGTAAAACATACCACATAATTTTTTGAAAAAAGTTATTTGCCAGCTATTTTTTTTCAGCGATCTACATATACATTCTTGTAAAATTAAAATTATTTTATAAGGTATATTATGAAAAACTACAGTCTCCCCAGCCTTTCATATTTTTCTTCAGAGGAAAATACTTTTAACTCTTCTAGATTTTTTTATTCACCTTAAAATTTCTAAATAAAATTAAATCATTTTTACTTTTACTTTTTCTCTCTTACGCCCTTCCACCACTACCCACACACACACTTTTCCCC